TCTGTTAAGGAGTATGTTCAACACTTTATAAGAAAAAAAATAAATATATGAATGAAAATTTACACACTTTTTGTTTTATCTCCAATAATATCTATTATTTTGGCCGTACAAAGCGACTTACATACATATTTGGAAAACGAGATCTATTTACGAAAATGAAGAGAAACTGCTTTATTTACTTTTTTTTTATTTAATAAACAAAAACGTAGGAAAAGATTTAAATTGCATAGGTCGCACAGACCCGTGGCGCTATTTTCTATACGATTATTAAGTCTACGGAACCTTTGAGACATATGGAAGGAGGTAAAGGGTTAAAAAGGAGCTATCCTACGAAATATCAATTGTCAGCAAGCACATCGGTATCAAGCCAGTGGAAGAACTAGTCAGCCCGCGTCAGTATTGTACCGGCTGAAATGGTAGTCAGCCACACAAAAAAATAAACTAGTCAGTGTATGCAGCAGCATTACACCACTTAACGAAGTAGTCCGTCCCAGCACCATAATTTCGGTGCTCACTGATCAGTGCCATACTAGAACCGTAACTACCACTACCACTTTACAAACTAATCAGCTCCCTTAAATCCCTTTAATACGACAAATTTAACTAGAATTTCTAGGAACTAGTTTTACCTTTCATCGCGTAATGAGTACTTCATTCACATGGTTTTAGTTCTTTTTCGAATGCACGCTTTCAACTGTCATTCATCATTTTAAAGCAATCGCTGCTAAGCGGGTACAGTATACTGTGTCGGCGTTAGTCGGTCGTCGTAACCGAAAGTGTAACTCATTGCAGGAAATTCTCTTGCAATGCAGAAAGCAGCAGATAGTGGCGGATCACAGAGTCACATGGCTCAGGGACGCAGCAGTGTTGACGTAAACAGATAAAACACGCTGGGTATTAAGTGACCAATATGCAGTACCAGCGTTGCAATAACAAAAAGTGATAGGAGTAATAGCAGCAAGTCAAAGTTTAGAAGCTGAAGATATCGATGTCGTGGACGTAGTTGGAACTGCAGTGGCTTAGATAGCGTACAGCGTTGTTGTTGTCGTCCTTTTTAATGCGATGGTTTGTAAACTTTTGCAAACATGGATGTATACGGGTATACATATCTGTACATATACATATAGAAAGTGGCACATGCACATTAGAGTGTTCCATTTTTTTTTGCCAGTCCAAAAATATTTTTTATGATTTTATACCAATTCTACAAAAAAAAATTTTTTTTGGCAATATTAAATACATGAAAAACTTCAAAGCACTAGCAGCACGTTTAAACATTAACCGATTTCAAAATATAAAAAAACGAGTATACTTACTTTCCATTTTCTACACTTCTGGAGGTAGCCGGAAGAAGATTTGCGGTGCATATTTGGAACATCCTAATACATAAAATCTGACAAATGTACAGTAAACTCTATCGCTCTCAATCCAAAAAAGTTTTGTGTGGAGAGAAATCTCTTCTTTCTCGATTACCCGTTTTATTACATTACCAGTGAACCCGCATGCTGCATGGCGTTAAAACGCTCAAATTTCATTACGCATTTTAAACAGGTGGCAACTCGTTTTAAAAACCTACGGACCGGTTTTCGACTGAGAAGTTGGCTAGGCTCACCAGATGTAACAAGGAACGTAAAACGGTCGAAGGATTCTTCAAGCTGGACAGAAGCGGCTTAGCCACACCCGTATTATACGGATCATCTTGTATAATTCACTGAAAACGTGACAGCGTTTATACTTAGTAAGCACCCTAATGTACATACATACATATTTCCATTATAGCTGTTGTTGCTTATCAGCTTATTTCTGTTATTTGAATTTATACGCTAGCTATTTGCTTTAAGCGCTGACCGAAAGGCTTGCTCAAGTACCAGCGACATGAACAACGACTACAATAGCTACGTCAAACTTAAGCTACATAAATCCACATACATATTGAAGTACATAGCAAGCCGTATGTATAAGCTTTTGTAAGCGTGTGTAGGTGTCTGCATGTCAATACAATAACCCTACATTGTCACGTGAATTTCAATTACAACAGCAACTACAATAGCAACAACCTCCCTGACAGCAACACCGGAACAATATGTATGTATGTATATGTATATCGTCCCCAACTTAACGGCACTACATTGAGCAAATTCAATATATGATAAGGTTACTTGTTCAACCATAATATGACCATCGCTCATATCAACCTCGTGTCATCTCTAATCCTACAACTACTTTACCTCCGCCCACATTCCACCACCGACTCGCATTGTGGCGCCCGTTCGTGCAAGCATTTCAGACATGGCCGTCGACAAACTTACATTAGTTAGGTACATATGTATGTACATACAAACATGGTGCAAAGTTCAGCGCTTTTTTTGTTTTACTTCAATCGGCGTGTTGTTGCATTTGTTTATACATGTGTACAAACTTTTGCTTCTCACTGAGCTCTGGGGGCGTATGAGTGCTCTGCGATTGCCCAATAACTTTACTTACAAATGTTTACACACACAAAGATACATAGTAGTACCCAAGTACGTACATATGTATGTACTTATGCAGGAAACTACATACTTTTCACTCGGAAGTCGCTTATTTATCATCGCCTTCGCTTATTTTATGCTTTGCTGTGAAAAGCTATGGTCACTCAGCCATGGATTAGTCGGTGGTGTGGTGATAAGTTTTGTGCGATTTTGGATGTATGCATGAGTGATATGTCTAGTATAAGGCTATCATTTGCGTAGTGCAAATATAAGTTAAGTAAATGGTTTGCAATTTTCTCCAAGAAAACGGCCGGCTATGTGCTTTATTCTTCATTTTTATAATTGGTTTAGTTGATAAAACTGAATTTCTTTTGTACACAAAACACGCTTCAAGATATAGTAACAAAAACTTTAGTGTACATTAAATTGTATTAAATGAGTGTTATTCTAACTGATTACTCTTCGAGTCCCTGTTTGGATTATTGCACGGATCAGTAGATTTTTCAAGTAAAGAAATACATATGCAAAAGTTTTACTTGGCATTTAGAGCAAGGCGTTCACCTTGTTGTAATTTGTTCTACTTTATACTATGGCGTTACCATCATTAAGTCGTGGGGTAATAGAAGGCTGGGAGCAATAATAATAGTGGTGTAAAGCCTATCGTTGATGGGTGCAATTTCCGCCTAAGATGACTGCTAATTAAAAGTAGGAGCTTGGCAGGAGTAGAACCCTGAAAAATGGAAAAGCCAAAGGCTATAAGCATTTGAAAGAAGGTCCGTTAAGAAGTCGTGATACCGGACCACAATTACCGAGTAAAATGGCGTTGATGACATCACAAGGCTCTGACACTTGGCATTAATAAATGCGCAATTTCATTGATTTCGACCGGAATTCGGTACGTCTAACGTGTCTTGAAAGGACTACTAGAAGATGTTGGTTTTCTACGGCGAAAACACGCTTTTTAAACCGAGAGCAATGTTTGATTATAGTCCTCGATCGAGAAGAGACTATAGCGATCTGACGTGCTCTTTTTTGTTATTTACAATTTCTAATCAAAAATTATGAACAGTTTATGAAGGCGACCGCTTTAGCCGAGTCCTGCCTACCACATCCAAGGCCTGGGCTCGAGGCCAGTCCAAAGAAAACCTCCGAGTGCATTTCCGCCTCGAAAAAGTTCCTAATAAATCTATTTGTCGATCGGATATCCCTCGATTTGTGTAACAACTAGAAGACGCACACCGCGAATTGGAGGAGGAGCTCGACGAAAAATTTAGCAAAGGATTAGCGCCAAATTATTGCTATTATTATAATTAATGAAATAAGTATAAATGACATTTGTCGCATGCTCTTTTACCTTTTTGTGAGGGTAACGAAAAGAAATATTAATTCTCAGAAGCGTTGGCCAAATTTACCGGGCCGCGGTTTATGTTACTGAAAAGTTTGTGTTACCAAAAAAAACGACATAAAAACCAAAATATTAAACCTTTCGAAAATTTTCACTCTTTCAAACTAGGCTGCCAAATTACCATACAAAGTCTTACCTCGGAACAATGTTTACAAATCGTGGAAATTTATTTAACAAAATTCACGTTCTTTGTAGGAAAATTACAGCGCACTTCGCACACATTGCGGTCGGCATAATCGTCCATCTGTGCAGATATTGTAGAAAAAATGGCGCGAAATGGGAGCTACAGGGGATGGTCTTCGTAAGACACATCCACGACGGGCATATGCCAGCAATTTTTTCAAATACTAAACGCCATAAAAATTTCCGAACTCATACGAATGTCAGAAAATCAATGGAGAAATATGCCGTACTAGTACTCCCAATGTTTATTGTGTCATAGATGTGTACATTAGGGTGCATCCCTCTCCAAACCTCCGAACAAAAATAAAAGGTACTGTTTTTCCATCGGAATTAAAAAAGCAATTATATCTTGAAGATTCGGTCAAACTATTTCAAAAAGGTATTGAGATTTACGTTAGCTGAACGGATTTGAAAAGTTTTTTATAAATAAAATAAGTTATAAAAATTATTTCTTCCTCACTTCTGATGATAAAAGTGTAAGATAAGATAAGATAAGGTCTGCAAAAAAAATGTTTTATGTTTTTTTAAGATTCCGTTGGAAAAACTTTTTGTGAGACATCCCAATGTGCATATAGTTAAAAAATGGGCGTGATACCGCCTACTTTTATTGTATACGTGTATCACAGCCGATCTGAATACTTAACTACTCACACTGCCCTGGGCCTCGTCTTGAAAATTCTTGAAATCGGACAAGAACCGCGCCCTGCTCCCATGTATCGGTAATTCAGAAAACCCCAAACTTAACATTTTAGCAATTTGAAGATCAGTAAACCCTCTATTCAAATCATGTTTGATTTATTTTCAAGTCGAACTTGACCGTACCTGCAATCTCCACTAAGTTTTGTTTCGGGTATATTTCCTGATTTTTTTTTTTTTTTGTCGAAATGTGTAATCCAAATTTAATGTTTTATTAGTAAATAAGCTGAAATTACTACACTTACCTAATATTCAAGCAGCTCAGTTCAGAATAAATCTGCAAATAGATTAATAAAAAAAAGTTTAAAGTTTTATACAGATCAAAAGTTTTGATCAGCTTGATTCTTGCTTAGGAAAGCAAACATAATTACATAGCTCAAAGCTGTCGAAACATAGATAGCTTATTTTACATACTTTACACAAAAAAAATCTTAAAGCAATGCTTTAAAAAAAATATTTCCTATACTCCACGCATTTCCTTACAAAATGCAAATATCTCCCCGCATAGCCCATGTTAATTCCAGCTACAAAATACAATTCAGTTTTAAACATTACCATTAACATTTCACTCATTAAAAAAAATTATTAATTCCGGCAGACAATAACAAAAATAATTATGGGTTGTCTAACTATTCCAGAGTGTGTCATAATTTGCAGAAATCTCCGGTGACAAGCAGATAATGTAAATGTAAATTAAAACCAATTTCAACGCTTAACAACCAACTAATTGCTTTTTCACAGAGCCATTTCAGCATTAAAACGTGCTGTGCTACAAACTTGGGTAGCTATGTATATGTAAGTATATATATATATATGTACATGTAAATATGTGTGTATGTATGTATATGTAAACATAAGCGGATGTCATGGCATTAGAACTTGAAATAATTTAGAGGCGAATGGTAAGCACGTATACGCCATGGCACACGATGGCGTCACAACAATAAATGTCCAGGCGGCGCACGAGCGCACACAGCAATGTTTACATGGTGTAGTTGTTTTTGTTTTACGAAACATTGTATTAATCGCCAAATGTCAAATCATTTTTCATTTGACATAAAATTTATTTGACATTTAAGACAAACACCAGACGAAGGAGCACGCCACACTAAAGATTGTTGGCGTACCTACAATAGGATGGGTCAATTGAATTAGAAAAGAAATTAAAAGATATTGATTTCCAATGCGATAATTTGTGAAATAATCGGATACAAGCAAAAATAGATAAGTTGCTTTTACAGCTTTACTTTTATTGCTCTCAAGAGGCTATTAAATAATTTCATTAATTATTCATTTCACAAATGCATTGACTTATAATCCAGGCAATTTTTTGCACACAGTTGAAACAATTTTTGTTTTTCTTGTCCTGTACAAATTAACCCCCTACCTAATGTACGTACTTATAACATACAATATAAAAGCTTTAGTAGTCTCTCGTGCTCGGTGGCAAAACGAAGGCACACCCACGCATGCACTTGTAAGTAGCATTTAGCTAGTCTATAAAAGCGCTAGGCGACACTATGGCTGCCATCGAAGAATAATGTCTTTCCATATGTGGACCAAGAGAGAAGGAGAGAGCGAGCGAGAGAGAAGCGATGATGCCAAGCAATACGTCCTTTTGACATCGTTTGCTTTAAAAGCGGTTACAACATTCATGGCGACTGCTTACACTTTGCTGCTAGCAATCTGTAAAGGAGGGGGGCGTATTAGCAGGGAGCGTATGAGATGCCATCGAATGGGGCACCGAAATTGTGCATATGGAAACTGTGCATTTAGACATTATTTCGGTTTTAACCGAAACTGTGCATATATGCTTTATTTCGGTTTTTGTCATATGCATTATTTCGGTTTTGAACCGAAACTGTGCATATATGCATTACTTCGTTTTTTTTCATATGCATAATTTCGCTTTCAAAACGAAAGTGTGCATATGCATAATTTCGGTATTTTATCATATGCATTATTTCGGTTTTCAACCGAAAATGTGCATGTATGCATTACTTCGTTTTTTTCATATGCATTATTTCGGTTTTCAAACGAAAGTGTGCATATGCATAATTTCGGTTTTTTATCATATGCATTATTGCGGTTATCAACCGAAACTGTGCATATATGCATTATTTCGGCTTTTTTCAAATGCATTATTTCGGTTTTAAACCGAAACTGTGCATATATGCATTACTTCGTTTTTCTCATATGCATTATTTCGGATTTGAACCGAAACTGTGCATGTATGCATTATTTCGGTTTTCGTCATATGCATTATTTCGGTTTTCAAGCGAAAGTGTGCATATGCATAATTTCGGGTTTGTCTCATATGCATTATTTCGGGTTTCAACCGAAACTGTGCATTTATGCATTACTTCGTTTTTTCCATATGCACTACTTCGGTTTTCAACCGAAACTGTGCATGTATGCATTACTTCGTTTTT